AAATAAATAAATAAATAAATAAATAAATAAATATTTAAAAAATTGGTCTCAGAGAAACCAAGGAAAGAGGTTGTTGAGTATAAGCACTACAGAGCCCCTTTCATTCTTCCATGAGCCCCTCCTGGGTACCTGCCTCTGCTCTTCCGAAGCATTTCTTTCTACTTCTCTCCCCAACCCTATATCCTGACTTGCCTTTTTTTTTCCTTTTTATATTTGTTGCCTGAATTGATTGTATCAGAGCTTTTCATATTGTATCGTTTCTTTGAATCAGACGTCATAGTCTACGAGAAAACAAAACCCACCACGTTGACCGTGAATCCACATCTGGGCATCCTGAAGGAAGGACTGAATCGTTCTTCTCTGGCTGTGTGAATCAAACTAGTGATAGGATTCCTGATCTTCTTTGGAAATCACTTCCGATTCATTTTCTAGAGTCCCATGTCTTTCTTAGATAATTTATTCCAGAACAATTAAAGTTTTTGGTCAAAGCAATCTGCGTCGACAACCCCGATGGATGCATTTTATGTTTGCGCCCTCCTAGTGATGTTGTTGATCTGGCACAGAGTTAAAGAAATTGAGGTCTGGATTTGTTAAAACGTAGAGCTTCGTGTCTACAGTAAGTGAGTAGTTAAACAAGGGTTAGAACTGCTGAGCCCAGATCTGTAGCACCAAGATCCAAGATGGAAGGTAGAATTGAGGCAAGATAGATAATTTGATACAAAGATAATGAATTTACAGCCCCAGAAGATTGAAACATTTTTCTTCATGCTTTGTTTCAAAGTCATAATAATTATCGAGGGTGGCTATTTCCGGTATTATAGCTTTGATTTATGGGAACTAGCTTCTCTAAAATGGACAAATTACTTAACGTTGAGAATTTTTTCTTTATAACATTTTAGTAAATGTTGCTCATGACCTGCTTTTTTCTCTCTAGACCTTCTCTCACCATGCCTCACAGGAACCTGACAGGAAGCTGCAATGTTAATTGTGGTTGTAAAATACACGAGTATGAGCCAGTCTGTGGATCAGATGGAATTACATACTTTAACCCTTGTCTGGCTGGCTGTGTTAACAGCGGTAATCTTAGCACTGGGGTGAGTATATTTCCCAAGTTCCTGTACTGTTAATCCAACATCCTGTGACAGGGACGTGTTAGGACTCATATGCTAACACGTGGCTTTAGTCCCTCTTTTCAAGAAACTTCAAATAACCTCCAAAATACTTCCTGACAAAAACCCGGAGGAATGAAAATTATGCAATGCTATCATTTTTTTTTTCCCAAGGACGATTGGAACATGTGTGTGTAGTGACTTGGTTTCATATCAGCCCTCTCCCACTTTACATTCTGTGCCAACTCAGTGAAACATGATAAGGATGAATGCTGGGCTTCCCATTTATTACTCAGCCAGGGCCCTTGTGATGCATTTGAAGGTCAAGATGACCACATTTTGTGCCCATAGAAGAGGATAGGAGAGCACCTTCCCTGATCAGAGTCTGTGAAGATGCGTGATGGATTTTTCATAGACTATCAGTTCAAACTTTTTTTTTTTTTTTAACATTCAGAGTAAAGATATTTCTGTCAGTTCAAGAATAGGCTATTTTGAGAATTCCCTTCCCCGTGAATTATAAATAGGCTGTAATACTGTGGGAGGTTTTCATATTCTACTCAGTTCCTTACTGAGCCTGGTTTCATTCTTTGCTTTAATCAAAAAGGTTAAGGTGCATTTGCCTGTACTGTGTAGGTGTTAAGGGATTATACTATTGACTGTATGTTTTGGGATCATCAGATTTGATTTCAGAGTTTTAAGCTAGAGTGATAAATTGAGAAATCCTGTGGCTGGCTCCCCAGTATATAATTGGTGAGCTCCAGTGTGTAACCAAGTTGAAAGAGACAATGAGAAGTGTTCTCGGTGGCTAAGTCCTGGGAGTGAACGAGTGAGTCCTCTAATGCACAGTCCTCATTCCTAAAAAGAGGCCAGCAGTCCCCAGAGCACAGAGGGCCAAACGGTGCCCTGTCCTCATATTTGTTGCTACTGCTTCTCTAAGTGGCTGAGAGGTGACAATGGCAGTGAGTTCAGCTTATGTTGCACGGTGAAAACAACATAATAGGCAGAAAGATTAATTGGCTGTTTTTATTTGAAATGGGTTTAAAAGAATTTTTTTTTAATGTTTATTTGTTTTTGAGAAAGACAGGCAGAATGTGAGCAGGGGAGGGGTAGGGAGAGAGGGAGACACAGAATCTGAGGCAGGCTCCAGGCTCTGAGCTGTCAACACAGAGCCCGATGCAGGGTGCGGGACTTGAACTCACGAACCGTGAGATCATGACCTGAGCCGAAGTCGGATGCTTAACCGACTGAGCCACTCAGGTGCCCCTACTTGAAATGGCTTTTTAGTTCCTTGAATTAGCTGGTTTCAAACAAAATAGCAGGTGGTATGTTCACTGGTCCTGGCCCTGAAGTCATCACTATCGCATCATGAAATCTCCGCCTTTATGTAACATGTATTTACTTTGAGTCCTACGCCGTGTTCTGGCTTATGCTAGGTGCTCTGGTGGGCATAAATAAACATAAGGCTTGGTTCCTGTGTTTGGGGGGGCTTCTCCAATCAGGGAGTCCATGAATTAAACAGCAGTTGAAGTAGCATACAATTGTGACCAAAAATGAGCATATGGAATGTGAATGCTATAGAACTGAGTGTCGAAAGCTCCTAATAAAGGTTTAGGTTAAAACAGTTTGACCAGCAGACATTGTTAGATGCACGCTTTGGATATTTACTGTTAGCAATGAGGATGTATTTTCTTTCTTTCTTCTTCTTCTTCTTCTTCTTCTTCTTCTTCTTCCAATTTTTTTTTTTTTTTTTTTTTTTTTTTTTTTTTTTTACTTTTTTTAATGTTTACTTATTTTTGAGAGACAGAGCGCGAGCAGGGGAGGGGCAGAGAGAGAGGGAGACACAGAATCCGAAGCGGGCTCCAGGCTCTGAGCTGTCAGCACAGACCCCGATGCGGGGCTCGAACCCATGAACCATAAGATCATGACCTGAGCCAAAGTCAGATGCTCAACCGACTGAGCCACCCAGGTGCCCCAATGAGGATGTATTTTCAATTAAATATGATGCATATTTAAATACGAGACTTATTTTAGAACTTTTAACCTTGTCTTGATTTTCCTATGCTTTTGTTGGCTTACAGTCGATCTTTGTTATCCCTCAGATAAGGAATTACACAGAATGCACGTGTGTCCAAAGCCGACAGGTGATCACCCCGCCCACAGTGGGCCAGCGCAGTCAGCTTCGCGTCGTTATTGTCAAAACCTATCTCAACGAGAACGGCTATGCTGTGTCCGGGAAGTGTAAACGGGCCTGCAATACCCTTATCCCGTTCTTAATTTTCCTTTTCATAGTCACCTTCATCACAGCATGTGCCCAGCCATCAGCCATCATAGTAACACTCAGGTGAGAACCGCACTTGGCTCCCAGGTGGGTTGTACGCTCAGAATTTGCCAGAATACACGTTCCAGACTGGACTGGTGTGGTAAAGCGGAGCGGAAAGCAAAGGTAGATTGTGCAGGAAAGCATTCAGACGTTTGCTTGTTGAACTTAAGAGAAGTGTTTACCCAGGTCAGGAAGGGAGAGGAAGGTTGCAACATTTCGTACCCCAGTACGTTCTTTATTCTTGTAGTTTGGTGAAACTTCTTGTGAGTGTCTTTTCTTCCTACAGTCTGTGCCCGATAAGGTTCAAGTTTCAGGAGCTGAAAGCTGTCACCATGTTAGCCACAAGAAGCCTGACTCCAGCGGGGGCAGGAAGTCATTTGGTGAAGTTGCTAAATCTCGCCTACGGCAAAGAATATTATCTCCAACCTTGTAGATAGTTAGTACCTCCGCAGTCAGTGACAGTTCATGCTGGGCCTGCAGTTCAAAATGCTGATTTCATGAGTTTTACTAGCATATACAGTTTGGGAGTTGAGGACAGACTGGGAGATGTCTCTTCTCAGTTGTTCATGCTGCGCTTTATTATATACCGTTTGTGCTTTCTTTGTTTGTAAGGGAACACGGACGTTACTTTAATGGAAGTCCTATTCAAAATGTTGACGCGGACACATTCAGATCAGGGTGTTGGCGTTTGCAGTAAAGGCTGCAGCAGGCAGAGAAGGACGGGGACGGTATGGGGAAGGAGCACAGCCCAGCAGCTTTAGGAGGATGGGGTGGGGGAGGCAGTGCAGTGAAGGAGTGAGGAGGAGAGGGAATCCTGTCTCATTTTTCCTTCACCTCCTCCCTGGCTCCTCAGTACCCCACACTGCTGGGCACCTGGTGGCCACACCTGCTGGGACATCATTCCCTTGTGCTGTTTGCTGCTTATTCTGCATATTTTGGCTTCTCTTCTATGGGATGCTGAGTTAGACATTTCCCAGCCAATTCATTCCTCAACAGTAAGATAACGGCACCCAGTGGGAAGGCCCATTGGTTTATTCACTCACTGCCTGCATCAGCAGATACTGATGGGGTAACAGCAGTGCGTGCCTCTTTGGGGAAGTGGCTAGGGAACGATGAGGAAGATGGGGAAAAGATGGCAAGTGTACTGGTCCTTGGGAATTTGACATGCTATACCTAGAAGTCGATGCGTATGGGACAGAAAGGATGAGGTGCTTCGGCATTTGAAACAAAATGAATCATTAATAATCTAATTCTTTGGACTTTAGTCCTGCAAGAGATGTTAAATAACCCAGAAATGGGCTGCCCATGTTATATTGCTCGAACGAGGCAGATCACCAGCTGGCTTTTAACCCAACACATCAGAAAAGGAGCCCTTTAATCTTTTCTAATTAGAAATCAATAGATTCCAATCTTCCTGCCATGTGGGAATTACTCGGAGCATACATTTCAGGACAGGAAGAAAAAAAAAATAATGTGGTGGGAGGGATTCATTCTTTTTCTAACATTTGATTTGCTTTTTTAATGCTTTTTTTTTTTTTTTACTCTATTTCTTTCTTTAACTTTTTTCCTCTATACTTTTCCTTGAGAAAATATGGGAGTAACTTTCAGTCTACACACCTACCCTCTGGAAAGTGTAAGCAAATAGAAAAAACGAATGCAGTAGGTAGGATAAAACACTATATATGTTTTTTCACAGAACCGATTTTGGAAGCTCAGAGCTACTTCTGTACCTTAACCATGACCCTTTGGCCCTCTACCAGTATTTACACAGAAACAGAGGTCATCAGAGTTTCTTCGGGGTGTTCGCTGGGGAGAACTTATTCACAGATTTAGCTGTATCAGCAGTCTTGTTTGGCTGTTGGTAATAAATCCTAGTAAATAGGAGTGCCTGGGTGGCTCTGTCGGTTAAGCGTCCGACTCTTGATTTTGGCTCAGGTCGTGATCCCAGGGTTGTGGGATTGAGCCCCGGGTTGGGCCCCATGCTGAGCGTGGAGCCTGCTTAGGATTCTCTTTCTCCCTTTCCCTCTGCCTCTCTCCCCAGCCTGCTCGCACTCTCTCTTTGTCTCAAAAAAAAA